ACCAATGAGATTTTGTGAGTTCGGAGTTGCACCACTTTAAGGTTTCCAGTTCGGTGTGGATGTGAGGGTGTGAGTGGATGCGAGTGGGTTTGAGGGTGAATGAGTGTGGGTGTGGGTGTGGGTGTGGGTGTGGGTGTGGGTGAGGGTGTGAGTGTGGATGTAGGTGTCAGTGGGGTATGATGTAGGGTATGGTTTTGATGGAGTGCGGTTGTGGTGAGTGTGGGTGTATATATGGGTGTGGGTGGCTGTGGATGTGAGTGTGCGGGTCTGGGTGTGCGTGAGTGTGGGTGTAGATGTTGGATACGTTTGGATGGGTTGGGGTGTGGGTGTGTGTTTGGACTTGAGATTAAATGAAACGTGTTCTTATGCATCCCACAGCGAGGCCCACACTGATCCTGCACCTATATGCTCCTTATATGTTTTGCAACTGAAAGTTTAGATTTGAGGATGGTTGGAAAACCTATTGAGGCAGTATTCTTTGATATTTTCTGGAATTTTTAGTGGGGTGTGGTAGCTAATGCTACTATGCTTGTTGTTTATGGAAGTTTATTTAATGAAATGAGGGTCGTTCGATTACCTTTAGTTCTCGATATAGTTTGTCGGTTTATTACGACGAGGTCCCATGAAAGTGCACTGCGAGTATTAGCGGCGATGTTGGTAAGAAAACTATGTTGTCATTACTGGTCCTTTCTGAAATCCGTACTTAAGAAAGTTTTCTGATATGGCGCGTGTGAAATGTAGCTTTTGTTGTAGTGTATAGCTGTCAAATGCTGCTTGGGATTCGGATTGAATGCGCAAGCAATAGTGACTTCCTACGGATACAGCGGGTTTACACTGTTCAAATTCTTTTCATTCTCTTTTATCTTGATGGCTTTTATTTCAAATAGAGTTTCATAGAGGTTTTACAAATGATCTAATGGCTATAATTGTATAATGGACAGATTTCGAGCATGCAATATAGAGTTTTTTTAATCAGTTAGATGGTTTGCCTGAAGATCACGGCACTCTTGGGATGTTGTTGTTTTAAACAATGAATTGAAAACGTTTCCGAGTTCTTTGTGCTATTTTATCTAATCTTTTAAGTTCTTCTATTTGGACCGTTGATGGTTTAACTTGAAGTGTTCCAAATTCGAATGGACGTATGATTAGTAAATCGTCAAGTGTCTTTACACGAGATAATGGAACATAAACCGATGCGAGTTCAATTGGACCAGGCGGCATCACCAGATCGACGATAATTTTACCGAGTGTTTGGCCTTGGCTTTTATGTGTTGTCATGCTGTATGCGGGTATAAGCGGAAGTGCTTTACGTTTGACGGTGAGTTTTGTTGTTTTCTTGTTTATTTTGGCTGCTTTTGCTACATTTTCTGGAAGAAGTTCTTTGGCGTCGAACAAGAATGTTTGTTCACTAATAGCTATAGGAACTATTTTGGACTGCAGTTCAGCAAGTTTGGTATTAAGTTTGCAACCAGGAAATTCTACTAAAGCGTACTTTGGTTGCGTTATAAACTTGGTATTTGGTGAAAAATTCTTATCCTTGTATCGAACATCTTCTGGTGATTCATCGTATACAAGTTGACGAAAGATTCCACGTGTACCGTTGGAGAGTCCCAGTTCGGTAGCGATGTTTTCTGTGAGTAAAACTGGCATTCCTGGTACGAGAGGCAGATACCCTGGAAGATGTTCGGTTTTATTGTCAGGTAGTTCAAGTATGGCTTTACGTAATCGTAGATCATCCACTGGTTTTCCTTGAATATAATCTTGAGCAATGCATACAATTGGGGTAAGTCCCATTTCCATTGTTTTGTTTAAGACAGCTCTATTATTAATTTGAGTGCGTAGCGTATTCCGAAAAACCAGTATTGGAGCCTATTGAAAGAAAAGTAATGTGATACACAGAGAAAATGAATGTGCATACTTCGTTCCATGGCTTTTGTTGTAGAGATACTTGAAGTTTTGGATTTTCTATGACTCTCGTACACAGAAGTTGGTAATTTTCTTTTGTCGATTGTCCATGTCTTAATCTATTTAAAAGCTCCAAATATCTTATGTCTTCGGTTCGCATTTGCTGAGTTAATTCAACAACGCCGTTTATTTCAGACATAAGCTTCTGTGCACACAACATATCTATCTGACGTTCTGTAATTTGCTGTGTCGATGCGCAGCTATAGTAGAGAGGCTTGTCTAAAACAGGAGAATATTGAAGATAGTCGCCAAAGAAAATGACATTGACACCACCAAAAGGTATTTCAGAATTTACGTGTCTGGCTGTTTTCACTATTCGATTGAGACGAGCTAATAGGCTAAGTCCTACCATACTCATATCATCGATTATCAAGTACTTCACATGACGCCATTCATTTTCCAATTTCGTATCGCCAGGTCTAAATGTACGGGTTTGTTTCTTTTTACTGTTTTTGCGACTTTCACCTAAAAATGAATGGATAGTTAATCCATCAATTTTAGCTGCTGCTATAGACGTTGGTGCCAGTTTACGCAACATCTTGTCCCTCTTGGTTACTTGGAAATATTTGGTAATTGCACGAATCAACTGAGATTTTCCAGTACCACCGCAACCAGGTATGCACATTAAGAGAGCACCCATGAGGCCATCGAGAAATCGAAGCACTCGACAAAATTTGAATTTTTGATTTGACATTCTCATCTTGTTCAGCATCATCGAAAACCTCTAAATCCAAATTTTTAGCGCATTTGGTTGAGGTGATGAAAAATTAGCTCGATTTTACTCTCGAGCACTCACCAAGTGATGCCAAAAAAATCATCAAAAATCATCTAAATAAAGTTGATTTTTTTTCAACGATAATAAATTGACAAAATTTTTAACGTCATATACTAAAAGATAGAGCGTGAGAAGCTGAACAAAACTAGCTATTTACGAATTATTTCTCACTGGACTAAACGGATTTTTTTGATTAAATACTTTTGATCATTACCATTTTTCGAGCAAAAATTAGGGTGTTTTTTTTTCATTGTTTCATATACCACTGAGTCATTTTATGAGTGCCCAGATTGAATTTCACATATGTTATACAACTTTTTCTCCTCTACAAAATGGTTAAAAAAAAGTTTAAAAAATTTTTACCCATTGAGGCGAAAATTGGCTCACAATGTTGACCAACTAGGTAATACTTTTAAGAAAAAATTATTTTGAATGAATTTTTCCTAATAAAATATAGATGTTTGAGTTGTTTACGAAGTATCTAAAATATTTTGCAGATAGGTAGGATATATTCCAACGCGTATATGTCCTATTTAAACTAAAGAATGAACACTTATTGTAATTAATGAAGGTAAAATCACGTAGCTAATATGAGTTGTCATAATGACCTGTGAGAATACGTATGAATTCCGTACACGAATCAATTGAACTAAGTTTTTCTTTTCTTTTGACTTGAATTTACTGTCTGAACATATGTGACGCAATGGATATACTGATTAATAGAAAAATCGAAAGGAAGAAAAAATTCTCCCGAACCATGTGCGTTCGATGCGTTTCATCGTCATCGTTTTCAACAACGTGCTGATGTTTATAGTAAATCTAATTATCATACAACTAGACAGAGATCAAGAATTCAACAACATAAAAAATCAGAAAATAAAAAGGTTAATAAACGAATAAAGTTGTCAGCAGAAAAGGCAGAACGTTTTGGGACTGTGATTGGAGCTGCATGGAAGGCAGCTTACTAGTGATAAAACTCATATTTCACGTTTTTGTCATGATAAATTAAAATAAAAGATCTGCTATTCCTACACTTAACTAAAAAAATTTTGCATTTTCAAATAAATAATATAAACAAGAGAAGAACAGGTAGATGTTTGTGACAAAATCTATTTGAC